CTTTTATAAAATCACATTAGTATCAGTCACTGCAATTTACATCTCATAAACCCGTGAACTGATACATCTTTATTTAAGCAGTAGAAATGATATCAGCTGTTGATCACCACAACCATTTTCCTACTTTAATTATTAAGAGGCAATGCCCAAACATTAACTATTGAAAACAGACTGACGAAAATAATTTCTGGAAAACAAAATTATCGCGGTCACTTCTAGCATAGTACGACTGGGTTTATAAATTACTACCAGGGCATTATTTTTATCATCAGGGGTCCTGGTTATTTTTGTTTCAGTAGAATGTAAATTATAAATACGTGGATTAAACTGATTCGGCAAACGTGCGAATCGGTTGCGATCGTATGAGTTACTTGTAGCAGACGTACTTCAAGTGCGCTGCATCGCGATAATCTTATTTTGTCTCAGAGAATTTGTTTTGATGACAACTCTGTAGATATTCAACTTACTATGAAGATTCTGGCATTAAAGTGGAGTCCAGTTTGAACACTCTTGAATTATTGATTGATTCAGAATTTATGGCAGAACTGATGCATCAAAAATCAAAGTGAGGGGCCAATATTGGCAAGTTTCCTCTACAGGTTCAGATGTTTAATTCCGGTCTTTTTTCGAAAATTAATACAGAGAAACAGAACATCGAATAGCATTGAAAAAGATGAAATTGAAACATTTTCCTCTGTTTTATTCGAGTTAGAATCTTTTGTCTTTTGATCAAATGTTTATGAATAGTAAACGAGATTTGGTTTCTCGACCAATCACCTTTCTTTGAGTTCGGTTTAATTGTTGACGGCCAGTGTGATAATTCTTAACTCAGCTTTTGTCATTTCTCCAAAATTTGCATACGACACTGTATTCCTTAGCGCCAAATAGAAGAATTGTACGGAGACGTAAAATCAAAGTTTTTTTTAACCCGGCAGTTGACTGTCAGCTGCTCTGCTGAACATTTTCGCCCTCGGTGATGTAAATTCTTAATTACTTTTGCGTTCCCGAGACCCAAACAGCACACGGTCGACAGCTATGATCAAACTTGATCTCTCGCCCGGGTTCGGCTACCTACCAGTTTTCTGGGCGCTTTTCACATCGTTTACCTTCCTGCTATGTTACACTATCGCCGTCTCGCAGAATCACATCTATCCATTCGTTCCCTCCATCAGCGACACAGGTGCACGAATCCCTGAAGCAAACCTATTCTCGGAGTTCTTCAATTTCTCCGCGGTTCTGCTGGCTGTGAGTGTGTTTGTTCGCTACCTTCAGTTTCAGATGCTGACCAAGGGCTTTGAATCGTCGGATCTTCATCTCAGCCGTTTGAACAAGTTTGGTTTGGGCTTCGGACTTGTTAGCGCGTTTGGTGGAACGATCATCGCTAATTTTCCATCGAACGAGGTAAGTCAAATCAGTGTACTTGAACACGTGAAATAAATCGTTACTTTGACTTTTAGGTTTATAAATGTCTTCTATATTCATGCGACTTTTATACGACACGATCTGTTTGATCGTCAGTGGAGTTAATCGTTTTATTTTAGGCGTTCATTCTGTATATACAGCAAACTACTGGACCAGACCACTCGAGTTAACATATCGCCGGGTAGAAGCGGCCCATATCTCTGTTTTATTAGATTCAAACATTTTGTGCGTACTGATCAAGAAAAGTACACAAGATAATGATACTCTCTGCAACAGCAATGTCAGTAAACTCAGTGTCAAATTGTCTTAATTTATGCTGGTCAGGTTTTCGTTTGTTCACCTGTCGTATTGACAAATAGCCTCCCCATTGATTCAAAATTGTACAAAATAAAAATTATTCTTGTATTACCATTTTTTCTCGTCGTTGCTGCCGGCAAGGTTTATTTACATAAAGACAACTTTGATTCACCGAGGTGTAATTCATTTTCTGTATGTTACAACAGCGTGTTTACTCGGCCAATTGGGAATACTGACTCTTGCCTTCTCACGGGAACAAGATGCTTGTGAATTGGTCTCAAAGTAATTCACTGAAGTTTTCTTTATTGATCAGTTGTCTCACGAATCCTGACATTCTGTTAAAATTAGATAGAAACTACTTTTTTTTTAGGAAAATTGCGGAAGTCGCCCGGCAACAAAGCCACAAGGAGATTTCCAACCACAAATGGCAAATACTCAGATTTTCAGCTTGCAAATTATGGGTGTTTATACTTTCAAAGCCTTCCTTTCGATTTTTCATTCCATTTAACAATTGCATTTTGATTTTCAATGATGGTAAATGGTTACATAGAAAATTTCATTATTTCAAGTTTATATTACCGAAGGATAGCCATTCGTTATCTCTTGAATCAAAACTTCTTAATAAAAATAAATGAAGCCAGGGAATTTGAATTAAAATTTCTCCTGTGAATGTCTCACCCCAAGGAAGACGGAAACCTGTGAAAGTTGGTTTCATTGGAAAACTACTTTCTTCTATTGAAATATTCAAATCATTGGCTATGTTCGAGCTCTAAAATAATTAAAAATAAAAAGTTCGTATCTAAAATATCCTTTTATTATCTTTGGGCTTTCGTTGGCGTGGTTGGATACTTGGGATGTATGATCGTGATCTCCGTTTATTTAAAATGCATGAATGAAAATGTTTGACATATTAAAACGATAATTTCTCTATTTTAGAAATTTGTCCCATAGTGTTTGATCGGTTAACTGATATATTTTTAGAAAAAAAAAAAAAAAAAAAAAAAACAAGAACGATTTAGAATATTAATGAATTAAAATATGGTTTCCCAAAATGGGTTTGTGTTAGATTTGGCTGATTTAAGTAATTTTTTTTTGTACTCGTCATTAGAGGAAGCGAAAGTTTTTTTGCAATTTCCATTTCCCTTTTGGATGAAATTATAAGATAACCTTAAAAGTGTCTCTCTCTGTCTATTTTCAGTCTTAGAGGATTTTCTCATTTTCAGATTTCAGAAAATCATTTCACTGAACATCGCAAAATTCCGGCTTTGATAGTCCGTAAAAATGGCTGGAATTTTAGAAACTCTAAAACACGCTCGTGATTCTCTTCGCGTTAAAAGCTTTGAAAAAGTTTGATATGAATAAACCAGGAATTCTAGTAGAGATGATTTAGTTGACGACGCCTAGGCAAAATACGTGGACATCACCAAACAAACAGTATTGATCAAACAGTTCTTTTCACCCTTCAACTCCAACTAGTGATTAACATGAAACTTCCCCGTATAAATCCATACATAATCCAGTAAACAAGTAATAAAAATACCCAAAACTTATCAAATAGAGGTTATCTCGATCTAACACCAGATTCTCATTAGTACTTTACAAGGAAGTTTTCGCAGTTAGAGGGGAGAATGGTCTGTTTGGCTGTTAAAGGGTTAACAAGAGCCACGGCGTGAGTCTGTCACGACGACTGAAAGGTTTTCTTCGAGCTACTTACTAACAGAAGGCGGCGTTATCTTATCGAGTTTTTCTGAGATTACGAACTTTTAAGAACTGGTTCATGCTTAGCGCGCGTATTTCGAGTTATAGATGTCCGAGCACGAGAGAAGCGTAAGAGTTACTCGAGGCGCAGCTGATACCAACTTTAGCTTCTTGAGCGCTCTCCAAACTTCCCAAGTAATTCTTAATCGGGATGGAACGCAAAAATAATGTTGAAAGGTTTAAAACTTCGCAGCTGAGCTGAACGGGAACTTTCAGCTGAAGTAAAACTGCACACGTCATGTTATTAATTCACGGCTGTGCGCACTTAAGTACATAAGTACATATTATCATATGACCCGTTGGGCCCCACTCGGCGCAATTCCATAGAAAATCAATTTGAGAGCTGACATGTGTGGGCAGGGCCGGACGGGTTCACGTGAGCCGGTACGGAAAAGGTCGAAAAAGCCGTCAGGCCCTGGTGAATTGTACGGCCTTGTTGCGAAACTTAATCTGGTCACATGATCAAATGCTTATTGACTGAGTTAGGTCGGGCAGATGGGAAAATATCTGGCTTTCGTTCATGACGCACGGACCGAGAGCGGTGAGGTCCGTACAGGCTGTACGTCATGGCCCCGAGCCATATATTTTCCCGTCCACCCTCCCACTCAGTCCATAAGTACATATTACCATAGTAGCTCCGTAGGTATGAGGTAGGACTTGCGCCCACGATATGTTATCACTATCATCATTAATCTTTTTAACTGT